ATTCATTCATTTGCTAAGAAAATTGTGCAAACATCGTAAAGGTAAAACGAGCTGGATGGTTTGCAACAGATAGAAGAACTAGTTCCCGGTAGTGAAAACTGTAATCTTAAGCTCTTCGGATTCTTAAGCATTCAGCGAGTTGAAAAAGTAGAAATATGGCTACTTAACGAAGCTGAAGTTATTAATTACATTATAATGAAGACGTAAAAGTGATTGACGGTTATTGTTTCATATTATGACACCGTCCGATAACAGAAATTAATCAATAATTAATCACTATCGTACTGGTCTGCTCAAAGAAGCGTGAAATATCGCTTTGCGCTATTTTTTTTTCTGTTGCGTTCAAACCAGAAATTGTCCGGCCAGTGAAAGCCATTTGGTGGAATAATTTAATACAAATGAAGAGTTCTTCTCGGAATGCTTTTTCCACAAATGAGATTTCATAAAAGCAATTAAATGGATTCCTTAATAGCTATTTCTAGCAGGCAACTAAGCAGGTTACCAGCTGCGTTTAGTAGACACTAACACCTCTATAAATTGCTTTACATAAAATCTACATAAACGCAATTCGAACTGAACGAAAAAAAGAAGAAAAAATTACATTATTTAACCTCAGAATTTGGTTAATTCTCTCTGGTTTCGAACATATTAATCCACGACTAGTTTGTATACAATGTTGTACCTACAGCTACTTACAAGATCATTAATACAACATAAATATCTCCAGTGGATCTAGGAACATTCATAAATGTCCCGGTATAATTTGAGCACAGCAGTTCTATTTAATGGTTGGATGGTCTGGGAATATGTCGTGGGGAAAAAGGCAGAATGTTGAACGCCCATCTGGGTTTATGGGCTCGAAATCGGGTTTAATGTTTGTTCAGATTCAAAACGGTTACAGTTAGATAGACGCATTCACTTCGCATAATTACGATGCCATATTAAATATTTATTGTGAGGATTAAGTCTTTTGAAAAAATTGCGGTAATAAATACATAAAGCAAGTTGCCTCAGAATAAATTACTTTAAGGATCTTGATACTGAATCTGAAAATCCTTTCATGGTTCTGTACGTTTTTACTAGCTAAAGTGTTATTTATGGCGGTTTTATGGGCGCTGGAACGGATCAAGGGGCAGCTCACAATACTAGTAATCAATGTTCTTTGAGGATGGAAAACTGTGCTTTTAGCCGGGAGTTTTAAGAATTTCTGAAGGGGTTTCAGAGTCAGTAATCCGCCTTGGTCAGTAAAACGGCAGTAAAATTTCGTGTCATTTGCCATATGATTTAAAATTTGCATGGCGATATAAACAGAATGGAAAATGTTTTGATGGCACTAATCCAGCTTCAGCTAGAGAATGTCACATCTGTTGCTATTTTTTAGTTTTAAATTATATTAAAAATACAAATCAAGAGATGAACAACATTCTAAGTAGAAGATCATTTATAAAACTGAGCGCAAAATATAGCAGCCGGAAGCGTTAACATTCAGGCAAAAGGAACTTTAACTGTTTCTTGAACTTGCCTCATGAAGCAGTAGTACATTTTTTAGAGGAAAAAGGAAGGACAATTTTTTGGAGGAATTTTTCATTCACTGTTAGACTTCCTTCATAAGTGCTCCCATAAAAAAGGAATGTGCTTTGATGGCACTGATCCATCTTCAGCAAGATAATTTGGTGTTTTTGCATACGTTTAATAATTGCCGCACACCAATAGAATCAGTAGAAAGTCTGTCATAAAAGTTAGCTGGAAAACAGCAGAATCATAAGCGGATCCTTCATCCACGGGCAGACTTAACAAGAACCGAATAACCAAAGTGAAAAGAGGAAACAACAGACAAAAATATATTGTTCAAAAGGAACCACAACAATGAAAACATATAAATACAACCTCCCAACTGTGCGACGCTCAAAAGGCGCAAAACCGAACAAAGAAATCAGCATCTTCAGCTCATCGATTTGCATTGTGCTTCGACAGTCAGTATGAGAAGGAAAATTTGCGTTTTTGGCAATCTTTAGTCTCCTGCAACCAGATTCAAATGACTGATTGCATGGTCACAAAAAAGCCTTGAAAAAATATCTTGACCCATTGGGTTAAATGAGCATTTTGAACTTTTCTTCGTGCTACGAAAATCACAGCCAGTGATGGCTCTGTTATTCAGATCGTGATACGTAAAGAAGTTAATTTGCCCACCTGAAAGTGTTCAAACCGCGATGTTGTCTGAAAGCGCTCAAGACAGGCCGACATCAAATTATCAGGTTATCACAATTACCCGATTATGTCGGTGGCTATTAAAAACGATTTCGCACCATTTCGTACCATCAGACCATGCAGCCGGCATATTTCACGGAACATTAAACGGGCCCCGTCAAACCATGGTCAGAATGCCAGCAACAGTTACTTTGGCCATTTTTGTACATACAAATTCAAATATTGCATTCAAATAAAACATTTTGGGCGACTATTTAAATCAAAATTAATGCCCATTTCCTCGTGAGCGAGCGATGAGTCTTTGGAAAGTCAACTCAATCGTTCGTTACTTACTCTTTCATCCAAACGATTTCCTTCGCACGATTGTGTCGCGCAAATTTCAAGACCAGGTTTCATTGCCAGGAATGTAACCATAATAGTGCAGGAAATAAATGCAAAGTACCGTTGTTTAAACAATTTTAATAAGCGATGATTATGGTCGTGATTGTTGATCGATTGGCGCCTCTATAAATATGTCAACAAGCAATGTTAATCACCGTTAGCTAGTCAGTGTCACGTTTACTTAAGAAAGACTATGAGACCAAGTGCTTGACATTAGAACACAGCGAAGGAAAGTGCCCCCAACTCGAGGCAGATTCAATAATTTCCAGTCCACAAAAAGCGGAATGTGCGGCTAAAGGCTTTTAATTACGGCTGGACGTTATCTAAATCCACGTCATATTTTACGGTGCCAATTTAAGAAATAAATTTTAAGGCCTGTGGAGCATAATGAGAACATTTCGATCAATAAAACGGAAAATTACGATATGGAGAACGGAAAATCGCTCATAAGATGTCCGTTTACTACTTAAGTAAGTTATTTACAGTTGACGCAACTTTGATTCCGGATTGGTACCTTCGATGAGAACATGCAAGGGGCATTCGGAAGCCGATTTCTCCAATTGAGCGGTTATGGTGTTATCATAGATCGGAACAAAAGAATCTGAAAACAGCTTTACATATGTTATTCTTGAGATGTCATTGACTAAGTACCACTCAGCCAGTGGGACTAAGCAAGCTGAAAGTAGTATAGTTGACCACACTTGACTGCAGAATGCTTCACTCGAGCGTCATTGGGAAATTTCAGAGGACTGTAGTGTTTTCCTTTGTATGACTCTCTAAACTCTTATGTGGTCGACCACTTGCCTATTTTTTTCAGCTCAGCAATTGGTTTGTTAACGTCAATGAATAGATGTAGAAAAGTGGCAGAATTATAACCAATTCTTCACGTGCTTGAGCAGATTTTGCAGAAAATACTTGCAATTTTCAAAATATACTACAGTTAATAAATGACATAGAATTGTGTATGATTGAATTTTCAGTTTTTTTCTTTTTTTCACCTTAAAGAACACTTACAAACTTTTGAAATTCGCTTTTCCAAAACCACTTATATTATATGCATGAAGATGAGATTGTCCGGTGCTATTTGCGGCAAAATCCAGTTTTAGGTATCAGCAATTCCTAACTCCACATGCAAAATTATCGCTACAATGCATAAGAATTGTGTGTTTCGCAAAACTTTACGCATCTTTTCTAACGTCGCCCATTGATTGAGGTTATCTATCGCGTTTGAAAATGGTAATTTTTCTCAAACTTTGTGAGTGTTTTTTGGCTTAATTTATGGAAATAAAATTCGGAGGCACTCGAACGACACTTCACTTCCTATAATTTGCTTCGAATGGTTATTGTTGATCATAATGGTATTCCAAAAAATACCGTCGTGTTCCGCTTGCAATAACAGAAACTTACACTTTGCGCTCGAACGTTGGGGGCAGTTAAAAGCTTGTTAATAACATTTTTCTGTATTGTATTGTTCCCTTGTATTGTTTGTGTGCTAAATATGGTTTTGTTGTTTTTCTTTTTTTCTTGGCATTGCTCCAATGAATCAAACAAGCATTTTTTTATTTTTAGTACCGCTTTGGTAAGCAAACTTGACAAACCAACGAAGAGACATGGGAGAGTGTTTTAAGAAAAAAATTGATACAAGTTCAGATATTAAATAATATTAACCAAAATGTAAATAGTAATAACGTCATTAAATTCTAATTCTCAGCCAAAATTATATTTTCAAATTGCCAATTTAAAACTCACCTACAATATGAACGGTTGTTTGCCTTCCTTATATTTTGGAGCAGATTGTCATTGATAAATATTATTTTTATGCAGGGTGATTCACAATTGGCGTCATTTGTTTTAAGGGGCCATAGAGGCGCACTTAGAGAGTACGAGAGTATATTGAAAAAAAATTTTCCGAAAATGTCTAGAATATATTAACAGTTGTAGATTTGAAAGAAGTAGTAGTATTTTGAACTGGTCCCATGTTTGATTGGTAGCCTATTGGAATACTCAACCGTTCGAAAAAAAAATTCTATTTTTGCTTCAAATTACGAAAATTGCTGATATTAAAAAGTACTATTCTACAATTTTTTGATAAAAAGTCAAAGCGGCAATGATGTTTTTGGTCATTAACCCATACTTACAGGTGGATAGCCTTTGTCAATATTAACAAGCATTTGTCAAACTTGTCAAACTGACATATTACCTCGAAAAGAATTGTTGCCGTCCTGCTGATCTAGTTTTTTGCAAATATCTCAGTTATTAATAACAATTATTTTTTAACAATTTTTCCTGTACTCCCCAAACACCCCAGAGGAATCACTGTAATTTTGAGTTACCCTGTATATGAATTTGAAAAAGTTGCCTGTTTTACATCGAGTCCAGAATTTACGAATATTTTTTTTTGTGTCTTGCAGATTATGGACTATTTTGTAGCCCATCCATTTTTGTCACCCCCTTAATACGCCAGAAGTTAACAAGGTAAGGAAATGTTTAACGTTTGGGAATTTTCATCTAACATTGAGTATACAGAGTGTTACACTTTCGAAGTCTTGGGATTTGTGGTGTTGGTATCGGTAAGAGATTGTAAGTCGGTTGAATTGGGGCAAACTTGTTCGTTTTTACGCGCCAAATATTTACAACGAAGAGAGTTCAAAAACTCATTTATTTCCGCAGAACTTCTCACAAACCAACCTGAATACGCATTATTTTGGTCAGTTAAAAACGTATTTGCTTTATAGAAAATTTGCACTTGTTTTATGCATTTTATCAATTCAACTGATTCGATCATTCGAAATGTTTGATCGTAAGCCTAAAGAGCGAAAGTGAAAAGTAGTCTTAACTAAAAATTTGGTTCTTTAATAGCCGTGAAAACATGACTTTCGCAGTTTACAATGTTGATAGAAACATTGTAATTAACACACTTTTGTAGAAATATTTTTCTAAACTCATATGGTTAACTTTGTTTTAACTTACGGAAAATGTTGCCCTTCATCGAACAGCTACTTGCTGAGGAGCTTCTGTAAAAAAAATGAATTAGGAAACTCTGCTTTTTATTCGGGTTGTGAATTTATTTTACAAAAAACCGCCAGTAATTTTCATAGATTAAGTCGATATTCATCGGAACTCAATGAATGACAACGCATTTTAAAATTCACAATTGAAAACAATCAAATCCGTTTAGAATTTTGAAAAAATATAATTGAAGAATGAGAAAGACTTACTGTTAATGATCAAAAAAAAAAAACCCAGGAAACCGCAGCGTACATTATGTTGTATTCAAATCAATATAACTATAATACAAACTAAGCTAACAAAAAAAGATTTCAAAATTAAATCAATCGACGATTTTGAAAAGAAAAGTATCTATTAATTTTTAAAAAATTTAATAAATAAATTTTTACCCAACAAACGTCGGTACAAACTCAATAAATTTTATTTCGTTTCCAACTCAAAAAAACATTTAAAACCGAAGTAATTTAACAAATTTGGAAAATATCGAGACAAATTATTAAGTTCATGAAGCATACAAGACAATCTCTTCAAGGACCACCAGATAGCCAATGAGGTAAGGGTACAGACTCGTAAAATTTTATTCAGTTTTCAACTTGACAAACGTTCAAAACCGAAGTAACATTAACAAATTTTGACAAATGTTTAGGCTTAAGTAAAGTCAACTTAAAGGTTCATATTTATCAATCCTTGCGGCAAAATTATCGTACTTAACTCGCGAATTATTGCCACTATTACACTTGTATGTTTAGACAGATTAAGCGTCATACTCGGGTAGTAATGGATGCCATTATTTACATGCCCATGTTAAAATTAGTAGTTGAAGATAGAAATCAAGCGAAAATGCATAGAAAACTGACTAATAAATTATATTCAAATATGCAACGATTTGCTATAAAGAAGTGTTACCCAGAAAGACACAAACCAATTTTACAAGACATTGTCTTCAAAACCATCGAAATAAATCCAAAACGGTCATAATCCATTGTTCCCAAACTTAAGCTGGCTGTAAAACAACAAGCGGGCATTTTCACATCAATTAAAAAACAACGATTCTTCCTGAAGTGGATGCCAATAATAAAGGAAAAATGCTGTAAAAAGGTCCATGGGACCCGATCGTAAAAAAATAAAAACGTGCCAGGACTCAATTTTGGTCAATTTGCTTCAGTCGACACCTTTTTTAATGTTTTCATGTGTGAAGTAGGGTGAGTCTGCATTCTGTTTATCTTTCAAGAGCCGTGGCATCCTCATATGCAGGATCGGATCAATTTTAATTTATTGAAATTGAGTCTCAATTATTTCTTTTAAGAAAGTGGTAGCTGACGTGGAGTGATGTCGGGATTTATGAAAAAATCATAGTCCAGTGGCTTCTATTTGTTCCTTTTCCTATGCAGACCAGATTGTCTATTGCTGCTTCGTAACTTGTCTTCAGTTGTGACTGATGGTAACATTATGGCTCCACCCTTTTCGCGTTCCTCCTGCACTTCGTCTTCTGCAAGCGATTTATTTTATTTTTACTATCTTTTATCGTTACTTGATTCATTCAGTTTATGTGTGATTCCTGCTCACACGTTCTCCGGAGATTGACTCGTTAACATTCTTCTTAGGTGAATCTTGTAATCTCACTTCTTCCTCGCGCTTTTACGGACTATTTTTTCGAATGGAGCTGATTTCTAATGTAAGTTGGGTCCGGGGCCTGAAGCGCTCACACGTGACGTCATCCCATGTAGGCCAGTTTAATTCCTATTACGAGGGCGTGAGTATGAAGTACATTCCCTGGGGATTTTGCGTCAGTTTTTGTCTAAAGTTGTCGATTTTGGTAGTCGTAACTAGGTACTTAAGATTTCCTATTTACTTGACAAAAGTTTGAAATTTTTGTTTTTCGGGTTTGCCAATTGATTATTGGTTTTACCTCAATAATTGTTAAAAAGTGTATTGGAAACACTGTGGAAAATAATATCCGCAATAAAAAGATTTTTAAAAATTATGTACCTGAATAGCACCATGGTGATTACTTCTTCATGTGAATGCAAAAATTCGCTGAAAAAAAAAGCACAAAAAAGATGTTAACTTCCTCTTTGAAGCTTTGCGGCGTTGCCATCAGTTTTATCGATTGCATTGTTCAAGGACTAATATATTTAATTAATTACTAATTACTGTTTACCCAAATTGTGTTTTTTAATGAAAACTGTCCACAATCAATTATAAAACTATTATCTAATTGTAGTAAATTTTTTATCTACCAACTTTTGAACGGAGGCCAGGGAAACTTAGCATTATTACCCGGCAACCCCGCGGAAGTACCTTCCATGCGCGGTTTAACCTCTGTGCAGAAGCCCACATAAGTTATAACGAATCCATCGCCCTTCAAAAATCATAACCTGGTTTGGTCTACGCTCACTGCAGTGTTTACGGGCGAAACACTGGCCTACATTGTCTGACGTCATTATTTTTTTATTATTTTTTGAGTTCAGCACTGAGGCCTACACGTGAGGCACGTTGTAATACCGAAAAATGTTTTTTTTTTTATTTTTTTTTTAAGATTGAATTTCAAGATTGAAAATTAAAAACCTATCAGCATCATAAAATCGTATTGCAAAAGGAGTAGACTCGAGCCCTAAAAGCCGCACCTTTGGGTGATAGAAGACAGAAATTCTCTGCGGCCAATCGATTCTCTTGCAGGTAAAATTGGCAGACAAAAGCGAAATGGAAGTGCACGGACCTCCCAGTTCCGAATAACTGGGAGGTCTAAACCCCTGAATGGATTTGGGGCAATGAAGCTAACGGTAGTTCATTTGAGAAGACATCTAAGATGACTCGACTATGGTTTCACATTATTAGGCGCTTTAGACGTTACTTAGCTGGTATCGCTTTGCGGCTCACCTCAGGTAAACCAGTTTGCAGATATTTAAAAAATACGTACGGAAGTGACAAATCGATATCTCCTCCGGCAGGTATTCTCTTTCTTGGAACCCCGAAAGGAAATTTGAATGAAGCGCTACCTTGCAAGGGTTGGCGCAGTCCAGTGGCTTGATAAATGGCTTTCTTTGTTCAGAAAACGTTCAGCACCAAATTGATAAAGCCGCTTTCTTGCTTCGACTAGACGAGAGTTGTGATGCCAATAAATTGAACAATCGTTCTTTACGATAACAAAGTTATTTTTACTTCAACCATTGGGAAAAGCATAAAGTCTTCCGCTGTTGCTTGAAGATGATGAACTCTCCGAACCCCTGGCAAGCTAAGCATGTTTGACACACCTAGTAAATGATGGTATTTTCGAGGATACAATAAAACAGAGCAAATTCTTGTTTATAGCGCTATTAAGGCAATGTCAATCTTAACATGAAATCTCAGCCCGTGTTGCACACATTTTTAGAGCACCACTTTTAAGCCCGATAATCTCTCCAAAAAGTACTAAGCGGATAATGGTGGTGTTTTGACATAGGAGAAAGCCGCATGATATCGCTAATGCACAAAAGCACAAATCGTCCTGGTTGTGTTGAAATGTGTCGTGCGTTTAACGACCTTTTTATGTTACGATAATAAATGCTTTCAGAGGGATCGTCTTCGGAAGGCGAAATAATGGGTTTTGATGAAAACGAACTACTTTCCGTGGATTATTTGGTGAATTAATGCTCGGGCAATGCGAGAAGAAACACTGACCGTTAAGTTCGTTTTATTCCAGCGTATAATTGCATGTAAAGCCATTTGCAAATATCTAGGAATTGAGGTGGCTCAAGCTCCTTAATATCAGTAAACAGTAAACTAGGCAAGTTACTTACCAGTTATTTTTTAACTGCCCAGATGTGCGCTAGTGAACACCTTCAAGGTGGTTATGAATTATGCCAGTCATTAAAATGCTGTTTCGATTTATGGCATTTTTCTAACTGGCCTTATTTAAACCAGTATTATATTTACAATATCTAGGAAGGTTTAGGTTGAAAAACGTGTATTTTGGTATAATCTCTCGTTTTGAAAATTATCGATTTTTTCTTAGATTACATGTTTTAGTAGTGATTGAAATCTTTGATCAGGTAACTGTTCAAAGCCACATCAGAAACAATAAACAGAATCTTAAAGCAAAATTTCCGAATAAGAAAAGTTATAGTCACTATCGTTTACAGGTTTCAAAACCGGTTTTTTTTACTACAGGCTACAGTCCAGTCTGCAAACTAAAAAAGAGAAACAGTTTTTCTTTTGTTAAAGGCCTTGTACTTGCGGCAAATGTGCAAAATTGACGGATTGTCTTCTATAGAAGCTGTTTTTTGAATTATCATTTGCACTTTGAAAAGATTCTAGTACCAGAATACTAGAAATTAATTATATTAAATTATCAATTGGATTCTTTTAAAAATATATAGAAGTTATTCAAGCTTGTGGAAAGCACACATGAATCGAACAAGGCGATGCGAAAAGCTCGTGTACTAGAAAAAGATAAGAAACTGTTCAAGGCGTGGCTTAGAACTTCA